TCCTGCGGCTGCCGCAGAGCCCCAGGAGGGAGGCCACTGTGCAGGTTAACATGGGGAATGGGAGACCCGCCTGAGGCTCCGCCCTAGCCCTCAGCCATCCGTGTGGGAGTTTACTGCCTGGTGACCCCGCTTGCCCATACCTCCAGCTACAAAACAATTCAATTGCTTTTTTTTTTTTTTTTTTTGGTCCAAAATAAAATCTCAGGTAGCTCTGCCAAAAAAAAAAGAAAAAAGAATATGTGCATTTCTTTCCCGCTGTGGCATCTACTTGTCACTGAAGTAGGGCAAATTTCTTTTGTAGTAAATAATCTGCCTTTGAATCAGCCAAGTCAACATTGCCATTGTGCTCCTCTGCTTAAGTGCTTTATTGATCCACTAATTTACAATTTATTAACTGAGAATTCAGGAATCAGGATTGTTAGTGAGTTCTTAATATCACCTTACACATAATTCTTGGTTTTGCAAAAGCTGGACTTGGCCTGCACTCTCTTTGAAAGGGCAAACTGGGGTTTCACATGGCGGTAAATATGATGCAGCTATTGATTGCACTTTGTGCTAAGGATAAGAGGAGTGCTTCACTAAGGCATTGTGTGTATGTCAGATGACTGACTGCCATAAAGAGTAAGGGTATTTCAGGTAGTAGGAGCTGGCACCAAGCATCTCTGTAGGCTGCGTATAGGTATATAGTCGATTTATTTTAGAATAATATATTTTTGTTGATTTTTTCTAGTTATTTAAAGTTAATACGTGGTCATTATAAAAGTTTTAGAGTTATAGAAAAATAGTAAATTCACATTACTCAGAATCTCATTATCCTGACATAGTAATTGACTTTTATTGTTTATTTATTTATTTTGAGACAGGGTCTCACTCTGTCACCCAGGCTGGAGTGCAGTGGCGTGATCTCAGCTCACTCCAAACTCTGCCTACCTGGGCTCAAGTAATCCACCTCAGCTTCCCAAGTAGCTGAGACCAGAAGTGTACACCACCACACCTGGCTAATTTCTTGTATTTTTATTAGAGACAGGGTTTCACCATGTTGCCTAGGCTGTAATTGACTTTCATTACTTTGTAACTTGAATAATTTGCTTTTGAAAAATCATTGTATTGAATATCCCATCAAATTTTAAATGGACTGCTTCTTATTCATAAGTGCAAGTAGAAGAGGGATTGACACAAATAATCCACACAGTGGCCAAATAAAAAGTAATGCAGGGCTGGGCGCATTGGCTCACGCCTGTAATCCCAGTACTTTGGGAGGCCGAGACAGGAGGATCACTTGAGGTCAGGAGTTCAAGACCAGCCTGGCTAACATGGCAAAGCCCCATCTCTACCAAAAATACAAAAAAAAAATTCGCTGGGTGTGGTGGCATGTGTCTGTAGTCCCAGCTACTTGGGAAGTGAGGCAGGAGAATCTCTTGAATCCAGGAGGCAGAGGTTGCAGTGAGCAGAGATTGCACCACTGCACTCCAGCCTGGGCAACAGGAAGTCTCAAAAACAAACAAACAAACAAAAAGTAATACAGGGTTGAATATCCCTTATTTGAAGTGTTTTGGATTTCAGATTTTTTAGGATTTTGTATTATTTTGCATTATATTGGTGGAGCAACACAAATCCAAAATCCACAATGCCCCAGTGAGCGTTTCATCTGAGCATCACGTCAGTACCCAAAGTTGTGTTTTGGAATATTTCGGATTTTTGATGTTCAGATTTGGGATGCTCAATCTGTATAGCATTTTTGCCTGTTCATTACCTTCTTCAAGTTCTCCCTCCTCTTTTCCTCCTCTTCACACAACTTCCCCTTCACTTAACTGCCTCCCTTCCCTGCATCCATTTACAGAAGATTCACTTTCCCGAAGATGATTGCTTCTGGTGTTTCTCACACTATTTCATCAGTTACTCCTCTGGCAGCCAAGTATAAGCGTACTTCTCAAGAAGTCTGGGAATAGCCTTACAGTGTCAACCATAAGTCCAAAATTTCTTTGTATTCTCCTGGTTTATCTTAAAGGTTCATTTAAATTTTGCTTTCCAACTTCTTTGTGTTCATTGTATTATAAAATATTATAATAAATGTCATACCTCTGTGTAAAATACTCCAGGAACCTGTGCCACATTGTCAAATCTCTTTAAATTCTCTCTGGCATATGGCTGCATCCCCTGGGGGTACCTGTTACCCTAGTTTGAGAAACTTAGACTCTAAATGTAGATGAATTTGTATTTTCTAAGAATATATTATTAAGTAAAATAAGGAGTCAGATGTATACTAGATTTTCAGAGATTATCAATGAAGAGATATGGGACATGCCTTTTAGAGGGAAGCATTGGAATCATTTGGAAGATTTTTTTCAGATTTTTCCCTTCTGCCTTTCCAGTTTGAGAATTACTGCCACAGTGAGTCCCTGTTCTGATGGGAAAGTGCTTTGTTCCCCAATGATATTGGGATATAAAAAAGAAGGAGAGGCCGGGCATGGTGTCTCACACCTGTAATCCCAGCACTTAGGGAGGCCAAGGTGGGCGGATCACCTGAGGTCAGGAGTTTCAGACCATCCTGGCCAACATGGTGAAACCCCATCTCTGCTAAAGATACAAAATTTAGCCAGGCGTGGTGGCATGCGCCTGTAGTCCCAGCTACTCAGGAGGCTGAGGCAGGAGAATCGCTTGAACCCGGGAGGCGAAGGTTGCAGTAAGCGGAGATCGCACCACTGCACTCCAGCCTGGGCAAGAAAGTGAGACTCCGTCTCAAATAAAATAAAATAAAATAAAATAAAAATAATAAAAAGTAAACAAAGAATGAGGGCTATTCAAAACACACACATATATATATACACACAGACATATATTCACACACTACATATACTGTATATACTATATGGATGACTTACAAGGTAATTTTTATTCTAAAATCTATTTGACTAACTGAATTAGAGTTTTTTGTTTTTATTATTTATCATAGCCAAAGATGATGTAACACATTCAGTTACCAGAAAAGTAAGTCCTTGACTTGTCCTGTTTCTACTATTCCAGTCTGAGGAAGGTTAGGATTTAGCGCCACCCTGCTCCCGAATTAGAAAATTAATTTGCTAGATTAGAAATGTTTTTCTCTAAAGTATCTGCAGAGCTCTGCCCAGTCTGACCATTTGTTCCCACTAGGGTGCCTTTAAGTGCCTCAGTGCTTTGAGCTCTGCTGTTTCTTTTGTTCTGTGTTCGCCGTCTTTCTGTCTCCTGCTGCTGGTGTCTAATATCACCATCATAGTAACAAACTGTTTCTAATTTGAGGTCCAGTGCCATAGAATACATTTTGTAAGACACACAATACTATGATAGATGAAAGAAAATAATTCCATGATAGAAGGACATCTGACATAAAAACCATTTAGGATCATTTCTGTTGCAGCACAGTATAGACAGAGAATTTAGCAGTGGCAGTCTAAGTGCTCATATAGCAAGGCTCCTCTGGATGGGGATTCCACCTTCCAGGAAGCATGCATCTCACTCTGGGAGAGCCAGTGAGAACCTTGGTTTCAGAGTTAGGAGAGAGGGTCAGAGGTCTGGCACTTCAATTCCCATATCCTAGGTTCCAGTCCATCTTTATTTCCTCCTTTGTGTTTTCTACAGCCCTCTACCTCTGACATTTGGAGAAGTCTAAGTTGTAACGTAGGTGACTTACATAAACAAAAATAGGACCCATAGGCTGGTATCTCTTGATATCTATATGCTGATGACACCCAAATTTATATCTGCATTTCCTATTCCTCCCTAAACTCACTGCTTTCCATGTCACTGCATTGACCCAGTGACTCAGGACAGAAATCTATGTCCAGTTCTTATCACCTTTACTGTTACCATGCTGGTTTAGCTGACAGTAATCTCTTAACTGGTCATCTTTTCCAAGTACCCTCATTCCCATCCCTGTTTATGGCATCTATTGACCACTCAATAGCTGAAATAATCTTTTTTTTTTTTTTTTTCCTTGAGAAAGGTTCTCATTCCGTCACTCAGGCTGGAGTGCAGTGGCACGATCTCGGCTCACTGCAACCTCTGCCTCCCAGGTTCAAGCAATTCTCATGCCTCAGCCTCCTGAGTAGCTGGGATTACAGGCGTGCACTACCACACCCAGCTAATTTTTGTGTTTTTAATAGAGACAGGGTTTCACCATGTACGCCAGGCTGGTGGAGTAATATTTTTAAAACCTAAATCAGACCTGTGTAAAATCCTCCAAAGCAGTGCTGATTTCAGGTCTGGGTAGGAAATGCACAAGATGAATCTCAGAGGATAGGATACTAACAGTTTCAGAAATGATGAGGAGAGAATGAAGCTATAATCGTAAAATTGGAAATGGTGCCTACCAACAGAAACAATAAAGGTCTTTTATGAAATCCTTCTCAAGAACACCTCAAACTTTAGGAATTGAAAGACAAAAAATGAAATTATACAGAATATATATCAAACTAACAATATAAATCAAGCAATGTTTTGGTAATTTGTATATGGAGACACAAACATGCACACACATATTTTAAGAATTTTTTAAACCTACAAAAAAAAAAATGGAGGAAAGCATAATGAACTTCTATACTCCCCTTACCTAGACACATCACCTGTTAACGCTGGCTACTTTTTTAGGAAAGAAACATATAAAAATGTCCTTGTTTTGTTTTGACAAATAAATGATAAAATAGATGGCTCAACTGAATGTACACTAACATAGACACTTATAAACAACACATATCCTTTAGCCAAACCATCTGAGAGTAGGTTATAGATATGTTGCTTCATTATGTATCTCTCAAAAACAGAAACATTCTACACAACTGAGAAAAATCAACATTAATTCAGTATCATCATCCACATATAGTTCCTATTCAAATTTCTCAATTTGAACCATCAGTTTTTAAAGAAAATCACATTACAAAATCATTTTGTGAGTCTTGTGTGCTTTCTCATAGAATAAAGCGACTGTTTACTGTTCACTTACTCTAGTTTTCTTCTTTGTGGTTTAGCTTCTTACATCCGTGTTTGACAATAGCATCAAGACTTTTGGAGTAATTGAGAGTGACCCATTTGACTGGGAGAAGACTGGAAATGATGGCTCCCTAACAACCACCACTACTTCTACCACCCCTCAGTTGCACACTCGCTTGACCCCTGCTGCAATCGGGTATGTCCTAAACAGATCATTTGGTGGTGTCTTTCCTGGATGCATTATATTTGCAAAAATTTATTTCATCCGGATTCCCTCAGATGACCAAATGCTAAGACATCAGGGAAAGCCTATGGATCTCCTCGAATTAACATTGCTCTTATGTACGCCTTTGGAATTACTTGCTTTAGATAGTACTAATAGATTATACTGTGAAATGGGAGCTTAGAGCTTATGTGACTTGTTGATGTCAAATTTATAATGGGTTTTCTTCAAAATGAGGACCAGCATTAGTTGTATTTCCAAATAATATATGGAACCCTGAAAAGAATGTGCCACAATTATATCTATACTGTGCCAAAGTTTAGTGGGAACAAAGTATATAGCATGTTCTTCTTAAAGTGATTTAACAACTTTCATAATGTATTAAGAAAAGGTTATGATCTGTTTCCGTGATCTTAGTTTTTTATTGTTAATGTTTTTTCCTCTACATGTATTAAATAGTTTCCTTTTATCTTTTATTTTGTCTTTTTTTTTTTTTTTTTTTCTAATTTTTTTACCTGCTTTGGTTGTTTCAAACCTTTTGGTCAAAACAAACAAACAAAAAATAGTAAATACTTGAAATGCTGAGGCAGAAGGATCACTTGAGCCCGGGAGTTAGAGGCTGCAGTGAGCTATGGTTGTGCCACTACACTCTAGCCTATGCAACAGAGTGGGACCCTTCTCTGGGGAAAAGAAAGTGAACAGGGACAAATTGTCATACAATTTAAGTTAATTGGGATATTATACCACTAATCCATTGCTTTGATTTTTTTTTTTTTTTTTTTAACATGGAGTTTCATTCTTGTTGCCCAGGCTGGAGTGCAATGGCGTGATCTCGGCTCACTGCAACCTCCGCCTCCCAGGTTCAAGCGATTCTTCTACCTCAGCCTCCCAAGTAGCTGGGACTACAGGCCTTTGCCACCACGCCTGGCTAATTTTGTATTTTTAGTAGAAACAGGGTTTCACTATGCTGATCAGGCTGGTCTCAAACTCCTGACCTCAAGTGATCTGCCTGCCTCATCCTTCCAAAGTGCTGGGATTACAGGCGTGAACCACTGCACCGGCCTGATTTTTTTTTTTTTTTAAGAGATAGAGTCTGGCTATGTCACCCAGGCTGGAGTGCAGTGGCTATTTGTAGACACAGTCATAGTGCACTATGGCCTCAAATTCCTGGGCTGAAGCAGTCCTCCTTCCTCAACCTCTCTAGACTACAGACATGCACCCTTGTGTCCAGCTCTGATTTTTATACTGAAAGATGGGATCTCTAGAACTTGTTGAATCATCGGAAGAGTTTTCATAGACTCACATAACTGAATAGTATCACTGACTATCTTGTCTAAGCAGATGTTTTTTAAAAACACCTGTTCCTGGGACCTGCCCCAGACCTGTTGAATCAGAATGCCTAGAGGTGGGGCACAGAAGTCCATATGCATCAAATACTTCTCATGCTTATCAGAGTTTGGGATGTACTGTCCTAGTCCAGCCACCCTATCTTACAAGTGAGGAAATAATTCTAACACTGAAGTAAATCCAACTTTAGGTAAATATTAGTGGCAGAGCTGGAGCCAGTCCAGAAATTTTGTTCTAGTGTTTTTGTTCTTCCCCTTTGATTGTTGTTAGAAATAAGTCTCAAACTTGCAAAAATTCAGGTGATAGCACATCAGGGACCTAAAGACAATGAAGGCAGTTTATGTTCCCATCTTCCAATGTTTCCTCCAAAATAACACAGAACAGCAAAGAAAGAAAACTACAGCTACGCAGAAAAACCATGTCCTCAGCATAACTTGTAGAAGATGTCCAAGCTTCAAAATAACTGTAAATAAAAAGGAAAATATGAGACCACAAATCCTAGTGCAGTATCTTTCATGCTCTTGCCTCACCTACCCCTGCCAGAAGACTTTATAAAGACAGATCAAGAAAAACTGTGGGGAAGACGGAAATTAGCAATGGGATGTAAGGTTGATCTAAAACCAATGCCATACTCCAGGTGTCTTTCGATCCAAAAATAAATACATAAAACCAGTGCTAGAAAGACTAAACCCATGCTAATAAGGAAAATACTAAAGAGTGTCCTGAGAGATCAGATGATGAGTTTCAGGGAAGTAAAAGTATGCATAATTCGAAAGAAAATAAAGGGAGAAGTGTGCTTCGTTAGTGGAGTGGTGGAGGAAAAAAGATGTATCAGTTTGGGTCCAGTCAGGAGACAGAAACTACACAGTAATTTGAATAGGAAAAAAATTAAAGAATTATTTAAAATTTTTATTGATACACAATAATTGTACATATATATGGGATACATGGAATATTTTAATACACACATGCAATGTGTTATGATCAAATCAGGGTCATTAGGATATCCATTACCTCAAACATTTATCATTTCTTTGTGTTGGGAACTTTTCAAACCTTCTAGATATTTTGAAATATATGTGAGTATTTTTGTTTGTTGGTTTGTTTTTTTTTGCGACAGAATCTCACTCAGTCACCCAGGCTGGAGTGCAATGGCGCAATCTAGGCTCACTGCCACCTCCACCTCTCGAGTTCAAGCCATTCTCCTGCCTCAGCCTTCCAAGTAGCTGGAATTACAGGGGTGTGCCACCACACTCATTTTTGTTTGTTTAGTAGAGACGAGGTTTCACCGCGTTGGGCAGGCTGGCCTCAAACTCCTGACCTCAGGTGATCCACTTGCCTCGGCCTCCCAAAGTGCTGGGATCACAGGCATGCGCCACCGTGCCCAGCCTACGTAAGATATTGTTAACTATAGTCAATAATAGGAAATTGGAATAACATGGAATTGATTAATAAGAAATAAAGATAAATGTACAGAATACAGATACAGGAATAGCAGATACAAGGTCCAGCCACGATGCCTAGGACTGAGATTAAACCTCCAAGCAAGAGCTGTCCCACCCCTACTCAAGGGCTGAGGTTCAGACCTTATTGGGAGAGGAAGAAAGGAAATCAGAATTGATTGAACTCAGGAAAGAAATAGAAGGAAAAGACAAAATTATCTCAGAATTGAAGAATATGTTACAAAGTGCACAAAGGAGAATAGACTTAAGTGAAAATTTAATAGAAGTCATTGAATAAGGACAAGGAAAAAACCCGGAGAGAATGAAAATGAGATAAAGAAACAACTCAAAAGAGTTAGAGAGAAGGTAGTGCAAACTGAAGGCAGAGAAGAAATAACTTTCAGGTTGTTGGAGTGCCTGAAGAAGAAAAACAAAATAATACCAGTTAAAACTGAGAAACCAAATAGCAGAAGATTAAGTTTAAAAACAGAGAACTGGCTGGGCGCGGTGGCTCACACTTGTAATCCCAGCACTTTGGGAGGCTGAGGCGGGTGAGTCACAAGGTTAGGAGTTCGAGACCAGCCTGTCCAATGTCGTGAAACCCCGTCTCTACTAAAAAATACAAAAATTAGTTGGGCTCGGTGGCTCATGACTGTAATCCCAGCACTTTGGGAGGCCGAGGTGGGTGGATCACGAGGTCAGGAGATTGAGACCATCCTGGCTAACATGGTGAAACCCTCTCTACTAAAAATAAAAAAACGAAATTAACCGGGCATGGTGGCGGGTGCCTGTAGTCCCAGCTGCTCAGGAGGCTGAGGCGGGAGAATGGCGTGAACCCGGGAGGTGGAGCATGCAGTGAGCTGAGATCGCACCATTGCACTCCAGCCTGGGTAACAGAATGAGACTCTGTCTCAAAACAAAGAAACAAAAAACAAAAACAAAACAAAACAAAAACACAAAAATGAGCTGGGCGTGATGGCGCACACCTGTAGTCCCAGCTACTTGGGAGGCTGAGGCAGAAGAATCGCTCAAACCCAGGAGGCAGAGGTTGCAGTGAGCCGAGATCGCGCCACTGCACTCCAGCCTGGGCAACAACATGAGACTCCGTCTCAAAAAAAACAAAAAACAAAAAAACCCACAGAGAACTAAGAGCATTTAAAAAGAGCATTTATATCCAAAGATAAGCATTAGAACAAAAAGGCGAACCTCCTGAAATACTCCCCCAAAATTATTTATAAATTAAAGTACAGGCCAGGCACAGTGGTTCATGCCTGTAATCCCAGTACTTTGGGAGGCCAAGGTGGACAGATCACTTTGAGCTCAGGAGTTTGAGACCAGCCTGGGCAACATGGTGAAACACTGTCTCTACAAAAAATACAAAAATTAGCTGGGTGTGGTGGGATGCACCTGTAGTCCCAGCTACTCCAAAGGCTGAAGCTGGAGAATGGCTTGAGCCCAGGAAGCAGAGGTTGCAGTTACCTGAGATCGCGCCACTATACTCCACCCTGGGCAACAGAGCGAGATCTTGACTCAAAAAACAACAACAACAACAACAAAAAACTGGACAAAGGATACATCTTGTAGAGGAAGAAATGTAGCAAATGTAGCAAGATACTGTACACATAATAATAAAATACTATGACAAAGCTTTCCCTCTATGTTCTCTTCTAGGAGTTTTATAGTCTCAGGTCTTAACATATAGGTCTTTTATACATTTTTAGTTGATTTTTGTGTATTGTGTAAAATAGGGGTCCAATTCCTTTGCATGTGGAAATCTAGTTTTTCCGGCACCGTTTGTTGAAGAACCCCATTTATTGGACCCCATTGTGTCCTTTTGGTGCCCTTGTTGAAAATTAGTTGACCAAGTAAGATATCTGCACTCTGGTGTTCATTGCAGCATTATTTACAATAGCCAAGATACAGGAACAACCTAAATACCCATTGATGGACAAATTGATAAAGAAATTATGTGTGTGTGTGTGTGTGTATTGTATATATTTGTATATATACACACACACAATGGAATATAGATGTATAAATACATACACACATAATAGAATATTACTCAGCTTTTTAATTTTTCTATGTTTATTTTTTGAGACTGAGTCTTGCCCTGTTGCTCAGGCTGGAGTGCAATGACACGATCTCGGCTCACTGCAACCTCCGCCTCGTGGATTCAAGCGA